TACTGTCTATAACAGTAGTAGTAAATTCTGCAATTAGAGAACTACAGGGCATAAAAAGAATTCCCATGGTGTTGTGTCACTGTGCCAACCCAAGTTCAGTCATTCTTACTAAAGTGTTTGGATGGATAGAAAGTTCAGTAAAATGGCTGCAATATTAATTCTATCTAGTATACTTCCCAGCAGATCACTTAAAAGGAAGCACGACGTAGAAGGGAACCCAGTGATACATCTCCTCATGCAAGATACTCCTTCATCTAAGAATTACTTGGGTTACTTTTTATTGAAATACAAGTGCCCCCTTGAAAGGCTGGGGGGGTCATTTCCTCCTTTATGTACATTATAATAAAATAATTATGTACCTTATTATAATAAGAGATTCATCTTAAAAGAAAAGGGTAAAATCCTAGAACAGCAGCACAGACCTGGATTAGAAGGTATGTCAGCTAGACAAAGGGCCAAATGAGGATGATGGGTATCATTGTGAGCAGGAAAGTGAAAAATAAAGAGGAAGAGAAGCATGTTAAGTTCAAAATCAAGCTACTCTGTATAACTCTTAAGGTGATGATGAGAAACACACCACCACTCTAAATTGTAGCCACATTTAAAACTAAAATCAAGGCTAGTTTGGCTGTCTGCTAACTTTAGTTTCTCCCAATCAAGCACAGAAAAAATGGAGGAAAGGAGTAAGATGGTAAAGGTAATGAACATCTTCCCATTTCTTCTTTTTCCATTTTGTTAGTTTATATTTGCAAATGTCTTCACTTTTAGGGACTTGAGGATATATCTTACGATATAGTGTTTCCCAAAGTGAAGTAAAATGTTAAGTGGTAATTAGATATGGTATTAAATAACTGCATCATACAGTGAGAAAGATCTATGAAAGGAAAGGTCTCAGTAAGCCTTTGTTAATTCTTTAGCATTTGCTAAATCTTCCTTTTTAAAATACAGAGCATGTCTGGTATCAGAGACTATTTCTATTTTAGTTTTTTCTTTTTCTTTTTTTTTACATTATAATAAAAGTCAAAACTATAGTGATGGAAAGTACATCAGTGGTTTTTAGGTAGCATCAGGGAGATTTTTTTTTTTTTTAGGGTGATAAAACTGTTATATGTCCTGTTGTGGCTGTGACTATATGAATATAAACATGTATTAAAATTCACAGAACTCTACACCAAAAGAAAAAATATCAAATT